TGCTCCAGGCTGGGGATGCTCCTGGGGTGTCTTTGGAAGGGCAAGGTGTCCCTGCCCTCACCTCCTCCTTGTCTGCAGGGAGACCAGGGGAAGCAGGGCGACCCCGGCCGGGATGTAAGTACCTCTGTAGAGGATGGGTTTGGGTTGTGCTCCCTCTGGAGCCATCATACTTGCAAGGGACTATGTCTTGTCCCATGCTTCCTGGACCAAGGCAGCAGAGTAGGACCCTCCTCTCTCACCATTAGGGTGCTGCTGTCCCTGTCACACTCCCTCTTCCCTGAGCTGTCTGGGGGAGATGGGTGCCTTGCTGCCCTGTGCTCCCTCCAGCTCCTTTCCTTGCAGGGGCTTCCTGGGCTGCGTGGGGAGCAGGGACCGCCTGGTCCTGTGGGCCCCCTAGGACCACCTGGCGTCCCTGTAAGTACCAGTCACCATGCACCCTGAGAACACATCCTGCCCCATCCGTGTCCTCTGTCAGATCCCAGCTGGATCTGTCTGCCAGGGCTCAGCTCCCCCTTCCCTGCATCCTGGGGCTGCAGTGGGGCCCAGGGACCCCTGGCTGCTGGCGTCTCTGCCTGGTGGAGAGCTAAGGGTGTCTCTCACTGCTTCTTTTTCCTCACAGGGCAAACCCGGCGAGGATGGCAAACCAGGTCTCAATGGCAAGAATGTGAGTAGAGGAAGCAGGACTTAGCTTTGGGGGTCTCCCAGGGGTGCCGAGGGACAGTGATCCAAGTACAACGTAAAGGCGAGGGGGGGATGTGGCAAAGAGCCTACATGGTCTGAGCCATGCCCTTGGTGTCTGTCCCTGTCCCACATGGTGTCCGTGTTGAGATGGTCAAGTTAGGCACTCACTGGCAGCTTTTGTCCCCAGGGAGAAGATGGGACACCAGGAGAGGATGGGAGAAAGGTATGGAGATGAGCCATGGGTGGTCCCTGCATGGTCCCCATGTGATCCCCACAAGCCTGGTGGCTTCTCCCTGTCCAGTCCAGGAGCATAATTTGGGGGCACGTGGATAGGGCAGCATCCTTCTCACTGCTTTCTCTCCTGGTTAGGGAGACAAAGGTGACACAGGACCCCCTGGCAGAGAGGTGAGTACTCCCTGAAGAGGAGTATGGTAATGGGGGGTGCGGGGTACATGCCCTTACCAGGGACAAACCTGGGTCCCAGGTACTGAGGATCACACAACTCTCTTGACAGGGCCGCAGTGGTGCCAAGGGCGAGCAGGGGGACAGAGGTGTGCCAGGCCCCCTCGGCCCCCCTGGCCTCCCTGGTGTCCCAGGGCAGGTTGGCCCCCCAGGCCAGGTGCGTAGTCCTCAAGTCCATGGTGCCATCCAGCACCAGACCCTAGAGTCTGGGCTGCTGTGAAGCAGAGCCCCTGTCCATGGCTCCCTCAGGGCACTGCCCCGTGTCCACGGGTGCTGGGTGCTACTGTGTCCCCTCCATGTCTTTCAGGGCTCCCCAGGCCTTCGTGGGGTGGCTGGACCAAAGGTAAGCGTGCTCCTGCCCATGAGCCCCTCAAGGCAAAGGTCATGGGGACCCCATGCCAGAGGGAACAAGTCCTTGGTAGGAGTCCCTGCCTCCAAGCTGGCAGGGCAGGACCCTGGTGCTGCAGCTGGTGCTGGGCAGCCTGGCTCTGCCTACCTTGACCCCTTTGCTGTATTTCAGGGGGACCAAGGGGAGCCTGGACTGCAAGGGGAGCCAGTGAGTACCCAGCACTGAGCCTGACAAGCTGCAAGCAACCCAGAGTGGTGGCAACCACAGCCCCTGCTTGGGCAGCAGTAAAAGTGTTAACTCTGAAACCTACTGAGGGCAGCATCAATGCTGCTCAGCTCACCTACTGCACCTCTGCACATCTTTTCATGCCCTCTTTCTCTGCAAACCTAGGGGCGACCTGGCAACCCTGGAGCACGTGGAGACCCTGGGGCTGCAGTGGTGAGTCCCCACCCTGACCTGCTGGGCTGGCACATCAGCCTTGGGGGACAGAGGACCATGCACAATCCTCAAGATGGGAGCAGGCTAAGCCCACTTTGTTTTTAATATCTTTTTATTGCAGAATGTTGAACGTAGCCTGGAAGCTCTTGGCATCAAGGTATGTATTTCCCAGCTGTGGGGCTAGGGGTTTTTCCTGCCACGTGGCAGCAGGAGAGAAGCGCAGGAGGTGGTGGAAGGTCTGAGCAATCCAGGGAGGGTTACCAGCACTGTGTAGTGCTGCCGCTGATGGGTTGTACTGACGCCCTGACCAGTGGCTCTTTGCTCCTTCCCAGGTTTCATCCCTGAAGGAGCTCACAGGTGCCTATGACGGGAGCTCAGACTCATTTCTGCCAGTGTCTGAGCGGCTGCGGGGCCAGAAGGGCAGCCGGGGTGACCCGGGAGAGAGGGGGCCCCCAGGCCGAGAGGTGAGTGGAGCCAGCTCCATGCCAAGCCCCAACATGCTGCCCCACTCCTGCTACAAGAGCTGGCTGTGAGGCTGTGCTGCCAGCTCAGTCCTCGGGTGCTTGTGGAGCCCTGAGCACAGGGCTGGCTCTGGCAGCACGGCGTGTTTTGCAGGGCTCCTTAGGCTTCCCTGGTGAGCGAGGACCCAAGGGTGACAAGGGGGACCCAGGCACCCCCGGCCCCCAGGGCCCCATGGGCCGGGCTGTGGGTGAGCGGGGTCCTGAGGGCCCACCTG